TTGGAGAAGACAACAACATCATCAGCGTATGCAATCCATTTGACAGCCTGTTTTCCAATCGACTTCCCACTAACTCTCTTCTGTTCTCTACTTGTACATTCATTTGGTATTCTAAAATCAAATTTTATACCCCATCCATCTGGTAGAGCGTCATCGATTTCGTTTTCAGCAATTCTCAAAACATAGTCAAAATACAAGTTGAACAGGCAGGGAGATTCTTGTCCTCCTTGTCGACATCCAACCAACACATCAAAGAACGTTTTCATTCCGGCAATACATGCAATTGTTCCTTCATACATGGCTTTTATTAGGTCAGCAATGTGTTTGGCTCCTGTTCTAATCAATAAAACCCTGATGAGTAGATCACGTGGGATATGGTCATAAGCAGCTGTCAAATCAACGTATGTTACTACAAGTGTTCCATCATGTTTTTGTATTACATTGTTGGTAATAAAAATGGCATCAGCTGTTGATCGATTAGCACGAAAGCCATACTGATTTTCATTGAGGATCTTCTCGTACGCACCTTTAAGGCGCTCTGTTATTATCTTCGATAGAATTCTACTCAAATTTGCTCCAATAGAGATACCCCTATAGTTCTTTGCTTCATTCATATTACCTTTCTTATATATATTCTGTTATATAAGTTATTCTGCTACCAAGCCATTGTGTAGGAACTTTGAGTGTGGTCCATATAAGAGACATCAGTGCAAACAGAAACTCAACGAGATTTTCACTTGAGTTGTACTTCAGTATTTCTGTTTTGACCTTGTCTGTTCCTCCACTTTTTCCATTCTTAAAAGATTTAATCACATTCTTGATTTCCTGTCTAGTTGGTTCACTTTCATCGATCTTATAATTATCATCTATAAGGTAGTGATATCTTTCTGGGTGTTGTATCTCATCTGGAACAGCCAACTGATCTGGACGTTCACCAAAATGGGTTTGAAAGTGTTCTTTAAGTTTGTTGTTCTGAATTCTTAATTTATTTGATGTCTTCATGACTGAAAATTTCTTTGCTAAGGCAAATTCCTTTTCAACTGTTCGGGCTTCTGCAACACTATTTAGGTTG